ATTATCAATTGTAAATTTGAAAGCTATTATGATGACATGAACTTATGCAATAATAAACTGGGATTTTATTTAAATTTGGTTTATTCGTAGGTCTAATAAAAACTAGAAGTTTTTTTTCAAATTTTTAAAGAAATTGTTTAAAAATGTTTAACTATAATTTGTAATAAAATGATTAATTGAAGAAATTTATAACAAAAACAATTCACATACGTAGGACAAATTATCTTCCCACGCAAAAAAAAATTCGTCTGTCTCTACTAATACGTGGAGCTCACAACTGTGGATTGATTTTTAACAGCAAAGGTATAACATATTTATTTTAATTAACTTTGAGAGTTAGTTAAATTTTTTAACTTTAATCTAACTTCATCAAAATGACATTTTGATATTTCTTTACATATAGGTCTGCAACATTCGTGGTTCTATTGTGAGACCAGCAATCAAAACAACTTTCAATCAAAATGTCATATGGCAATAACTCAAGTTCTATGAGTAAATTGCAATAGGCGGTTATGAACCGCGGTACGTGTATTTCCTTTAACGTGGTGTGGTCGATTTTGTTGTTGTTCATGTTGTTGTTGTTGTTGTTTATGTTGTTGTTTATATATTATTGTTTATATTGTCGTTTATTTTTGTGATGATTCTGAAGATTTTTGTAATTATATTTAATGGTTGATATGTCTAGAAATTTTAAGCAGAAATTATTTTAATGTTATAGACTCTAGTTTGTACAGGTGTTGGTTTTGTTGTTTATGTACATACATTTCTATCAATTTTTGCTTTTTTTTATGTACATACATTTCTATCAATTTTTGCTTTTTTTCATTGTTTTTCTAACTTATTTTGCACAAATTATTCAAATGTTCATAAAAAAATAATTGTTCATCATAATAGAGAAAAATCCTATTTTAATTATTATTTCAATAAATAAGGAAGCTAAAAAATTAAATGTGTAACTTGATGCTGAGTTTGGATAGAAGGAAGATATAGACAAATATGGATAGGAAAGTTTGATTGGAATAATGCTAATGCAATCAAATATGGAAGGAGTCGTGTAATCATAGAGGTACCTTCATTGTTCTAAGATTATTAGATGGAAAATTTTTGTTGATATTTGAGCTGGCAACATTAATAAAATATTTTATTTTTAAACATATGTAAAATTCCAATTATATATTTTTTTATCTATACTGATGTTATCAATAATATTATTGTTATTAATATTTCAAACCACAAAATTGATATCACATTGATTATTCGAAACATGTATTTTCAAACTTTTTCATAATTATTATTGTTATTATTATTCTGAAGAGAGTAACAGACATAAAAGTTTATTTGAAAAATGTTCAATGTTGGAAATTTTCAAAAGTCATCAGAGATCATGTTTACTAAGAGTAATAAAATGTTATTGCAATGTGCATGTGGACGATGCCAGAGCATCATTAGCAAGCTAGAGATGTATAATAGACAGGATGATGATGTTGCAACTGGAAGCACAATAGCGGGAGTAATAATTTCGGGACGTACAAAAATACGCTGGCATGTGACTGACGCAAACTTCATTAGACATTTCACTCAAGCGCACACAATGTCATACCCTAACAAACAAACAAACAAACATAAAAACAAACAAAAAAAACAAACATAAGCAAAAAACATATTATAAACAAAAAAACGCCAACAAGTTAAATGACCAAATATGATAATACTCAAAAACGAAAAAAATCTCTTTATATAAGTCAAAAATAAACAAATAAAAAAGAGCATAAAGTGAACATTTGCGTTAGAAAAACTGGCTTCATAAGTATGCGATGTTATTAAAATTTGCATAAAAGAGATAACAATTAAACAAAAAATTTGCAAATACACACAAAAATACACGTCGATAACAAAGGCTTACTCCCACGGTTGCAGCCCAAAAAATAGAAGATAGAAAGATGGAAATACATTCCAAAAAATTTCAAATTTAAAAATAAAAACTTTAACGAAAAGTATAAATAAATTCCATAGAAATAATTGAATATATACAAAGATAAACAAGCAAAGATATCAAAACAGACAATAAATTATTAAAAAAAGTATATAAACAATACGCAATTCACAACGATATACAAACCTATGATAATTTACAACGATAAAAGAACAGACGATAATACACAAACAGAGATATGCAAATAGACGATAGTAAACGAACATAGATATAAAAACAGACGATAATATACAAACCCCTCATAAGCGCGGCCACCACACTCAACCTTCCCGCCATTCTTGGGTGTTTGAATGGGAAAATTGATTTTGTGTTTGATGTCGTTGCTGTCGCGGCGGTCGTAGTTGTTGGCGGTGTCGTCGATGAAGAGGATGTCGACGAAGATGGAGCTGCTAACAGTGTAGAATCTGAAAATTAAATTTTAAAATGTTGATTAAGGTACTATTTTTAACTCATTTGAGTGCTACGTTGAATCATTAATAGGAATAGTAATGGTAATGATGTGATGATAATGATGATGAAGAAGAAGGTGATGATGATACTGGTAATAGTGGTGATGGTGATAGTGATGATGATGGTGGTGGTTATGGTGATGGTGACATGATGATGAAGATGATCTTTTATTTGGCTTTAAAAATAATTTCACGTTAGCGATGAATGTAATGTTGATTGTAATAAGAGCTGTAGGGACGATGGCGGCGAAACTCCGAACTCGCATAAACAAAATGTTACGATTCTTATTTTCTTATTTGTCAAAAATCTGATCAATTAGAAATATTTTTCAAAAATAAACCGCACTTTGAACTTTCATGTCTATGATATAAACTTTTTGTACGATTAAACATTTATGAATTTATACAATAATGCACATGAAGGAAAATAAAGAAGGACAGATAACAAAATAAAAATCAATTAAATTACTTGAAATGTGTTTGTGATATTTTCAAATACCTCAAAATTTTAAATAATTTTTTTTTTCAGTAACAACAGCTTCGATATGCGGAAAAATGCTCACTTATCATTCCTACCGTAAATATAAAAAAAACTTTCGTGCTACGAAAACTGTGCTATCCACAGTGCACAACGTACGCAGTACTTAACACTCATAAGCACTTCGTTTGTCTGAGCATCGCAATAGTCTGGGAGTTAGGGAAAGATAGCGTTCGAAACGGGTCAATGTTCAATAACATCGCGAGAAATGGCACTTTTACCGACTGAGCTAAACCACCGATGTATAATTTTTATTCTTCAATGATAGGTTATAATTTTTAAATCAAATTCAATTTACATAGTCCAATTTGACTACTACTTCTCGTGTTTATATTTTATGCTAATGTAACTTAATATTTTTCAATTCTGTTTACCAAAAAATATTTATGCTCACGCAATATCACACACACACACACGCACGCGCGCTCGCATGAACTAATAAATGTAAAAAAGTGTAATAGTAACAAAAAAATAATCTACGGAGCCAAAAAATTATTTCTTCTTAGAATTACTCATCCCAAAACGAAGGAACGAAATATACTAAGAAGGAAATCTGAAATGAAATGTGTGAAGTCGTAGTAAGTTGTATTGGCATGATGGTTCTTGCATTAAATGAGGATGATGATGATGGCCGTGGCGCTGATGATGATGAAGATGGTAGCAATGATGATGATTGATGATGATTGATGATGATGATGTGAAAACAGACATCACTGACGACAACAACAATCTCAACCTCCCCACCAACAGACAACAAACAACAACATTAACAACAACAACTACTACAACAACATTAACAACAACAACACCTACATCGAAAATCAATCTGGCGAACAATTCGTACTGTCGCCAACCTGACAACACTCAATCTCTATTAGAAGGAATGCAGACATGCTCAAATCCGTATACAACCAACCAACGATAAATATTGCCCGTGTACATACACTACGCACAAACGCACACACGCACGCACGCACACACAAACACACACACAAACAAAACCATACACACATATCTATACACACATACGCACGCACACACATACATATAAACATACATACACATAATGTATTCATACAATGTATAAAGAAATCAAAAGATTTGTATTTACTACTTACATACATACACATATATGTCTAGCTGAGCTATTGAAACTGGCGTGATATGTCAAAATTACATGCAAATCAATCAGAAAGTACACGAAGGCAATGATGAATATTGTGGAAGATTTTAAGAGTTTTTAAGCCCGCCGTAGATTGTGTCAATACGTTTATCAATTTGTTTCCGAAACTCGCGATTTAATAAAGATTTATTGTTAATCCGCGATGGTTTTGCAGATTCCAGTTGATAAGACTGCTTTGCGTGTGTGTGTGTGTGTGTGTGTGTGCGCGTGTGTGTGTGTATGTGTGTGTGTGTGTGCGTGCGTGTGTGTGTGTGTAATGATGAAAGTGAACGAGTTGTGAGTTATTACAAGTTTTATGGGAATATGCTCTTCCCAATATTCAGACAGAGGTTTGTTTGTTTTTATTCGAAATAAATTTCATAACTCGTTGTAAACAAATTCAAACAACAACAACAACAACACACCAACACTTAGACAACAACAGCAGCCAAAAACACAAACAGCATACTACCAAAATCAATACAACAACACCAACAACATTACAACAACAATAACAACAACAACTCAACATCAACAAAAACAACACTTCAACAACAGCAGAATCGACGGACACGCTTGTTTTAAGATGGACGACAATGTATACACAAGAAACATCGCAGGAGATTTGAAAGAGTAAAAACTATTTGTAAAGAAATTCAAATATTCTTTCTCCAATCCACTACTACTACCTCGTTTTCATGAATAATATGACAAAATTAATGACGTATGTTCAGCCAAATGTTATGCCATCATTAAATTATTTTCAGCAACAACTAAACAAAAGCTAAATCAGTTTGCCAGTTTTTAGGCTGGGGTAAGTAAGAACAAACATACATTGTTTGTCTTAACGTACAATGTTTGTTCTTAAATTATAACACAAAATCACCAAATTGTATTAACGTATGTGCCTCATCAAATACACGTGATAGTAAGAAACTGGACAAGAAAAAGGACACATATATTTATTTCTTTTAAGTACATAATTATTTATTACTTAAAGTTTTTACAAGTCAACAAAAAACAAATCAATACATAATGGTGTGTCATAGTGGAATGTGTGTGTGTCTGTGCGTGTGTGTGTGTGTGGAAATTAACAAATGGTAGTTTGTGTTGTGTGGTGTGTTTGTGTGTGTGTGTGGCACAAACACACACACACAGACACACACACCACACACACACTATTTGGCACCTTTGCTAATACACAATCACGTCACCTAAATACTTTGTAAACATTCGCACCAAAAAACAAGTTAGCCACAAATAAACAAGAACACAACAAAAACAATCCTACCGACACCAATCGCGCTAGTATCAAACTCTATCGAAGCGTGTCATCGCCGTAATTTGCTTTTTTTTGCCACAAATTTAATGCACATTAGGGTAGGTCGTCAGAAAAAAATTGACTGTGAATAGTGATAAAAAGTTGCTA